CATTCCCAAGTGAGACTAGGCAGCACATACCTCAAAGAATCCATCTTCAGTGTTGATTTTTTCACCTTTGAAGACTGGAAACACATCATTTCAATTGGCTTCAGTCCTTGTGTGGTATTCATGGCATTCTGCATAGCTTCTGTCACTTCCTTTATTTTGCCATAACAATTTGCTGGGGAGGCAATTGTAATATAAGCTTTCACAGAATAGCCTATCCAACATAGTTTTACCTGACCTCACCTTTTTACTATTCCTTAACCCAATGACGCCGGGTGTACAAAAGGAAAATAAAACTCTACGCTCTGGCAAACAAAGGCAGCGCGCCGACTTTGAGCGCCGGAGTACGGGGCGTCAGCCCGAATCACTGGCTCGCCGCGCTTTGGCGCGCCGCCGGCTGGTTTGGCCGTACGCCACCTTTCAAGCGATTTGTTTACACGCGTATCGCCGTCACCCGGCGGCAAGGGGTTAAAATTTCATGAAAAAAAAAAAAAAAAAAAAAAAAAATTTGCTTTACTATCATAATTGACATTAACCTATTGCCGCCGGGGAAAATGAACAAAAAATGGGGAAAATGCTGTGCCTATTTTCTATACTTTTTTGTTAAATGTCTGCCCATAGATGGCTCTGTTAGCGCCTGATTTGAAACACGTATTTTTCACTAGTGCCACGAATATTGATGATGTTATTTTTATCATAAACGTTGTAATTTTTATAATGTTTTTTAACATTAGTAACAGCAAAATAAGATACCGTAAAATATTTCATAAATCAAAGAAAAGGGTGAACGGGCGAGACAGGCGGTACTCGTAACTGGCTCATTGGTGATTTAGTACAAGTGTAGCCATCTATGTGTGAAAACAATCTAACAAGTAATCTCACAGTGGCCATGGCATGGCATGCCCGGCGGGAATGGGTTAATGTAATTATCATATATTTTTTAATGTCACAGAATACCCTATCCACCATGATTTTGTTTCATTTTGTTTACATATAAATGGCTTCAAAAAGCTCATTACTAGGCTGGCTAACCTTACCTGTTTACTATTCATTAAAATTTTATGAAATAACTTTTATTTGCTTTACTATCATAATTGACATCAATGTAATTATCATATTTTTAAAATTGTCATTATTGTAACATAACTTATACTAATACTGGTAACATTAAAACAAACATTATTTTCACAAAAATTTAAGTAAATAAATGAGGTTAGGCATGTTTACCTATTGAATCCTTTGTTAATAAGCACTTAAATTTGTAAACAATATCAATAAAACAAAAACATAGTGGCCAGCTCATTTATACATGATATTACTGGATTAAAAGCAAAAACATATAGGTAAAATTACTGTGTAATAGTAATAATAGGTAAGAACTAAGTATAAATAAAAATAAGAAAAGAGTTTAGACAGAAAAAGACCTGTTACTAATACATTTCTATATTACATCAAATAAAGGCAAGTAAAGTTTCCTAAAATCCATAATGCTAGTTATTCATCATGTTTTAAAATCTCTTCACTTAAATATATATACTTTGTTCCTGGCACTTTACTATATGCACATACAAAATTTAAACTCTGAGGAGGAGGTGTGTAAACTTACGACACAGACGGCCAGGTTCATGAACATGGCCACAGTTGTTACAGGTGAGCAGTTTCAATACTGGTAGCATTTTCTTGTGTCCTGTTTCTGAACCAAACTTCCTTGTCAACCTCTTCTCTCTGCTTCTACGATTCTTGGGTACAGCCCACAAGATGCCTTCACCAATCAAATCTTGAAGGGGACTCTGGCTGCCTGAAATGGCTTGTTGTTGTGGTACATGCTCCACACACACCATAGCTGCACTGGGGGGAGGCCCTGAAAAGTGAAGAACTAGTAGTAGCTTTGTAGTTTCCTTTTATTCTCTTCCATATCATATTTGACTGATGATTTTCACCACATACGGGATGCAGTATATAGACTGGGACACATGATAGAAAGACTATATTAGTCATGGTAGAAAAACCCACAATATGAAACTAGATTTACTGAAAGTGAGACTACAGTTTCAAAATCCACCTGAACAATTCCAAGCAAAGTTCATAAGTTTGTTAATTCTATCCTGTCCAATCACTTATGCAAGCATAATTCTATGTAAAATGCAAACTTTCCAAGCAATACATAATATGTACAATACTTGTATTAGTACCTACGCAACTATGCAATAAGTGATGTATGGTTTCAGTGTATAATTTACATTAGTTTTCTGTCAAACCCTCTTGCTTGCAAGAGCTAATATCATCTTTTGAAGAAAAAAGGTAGAGTATTTAGGAAGGGGCTCTTGCATTCTTTCTGACAATAAATTAGTGTGGAATGCATAATCATTTATTAAATAAACCACAGTATGCGGGTACTAATTTTTTATAGAATATTTTTGTGAAATATCTCTGTCCATAGATGGCTCTGCTACTCCTGATTTCACCTTCCCTTGAATTGGCAGGAAAAAACGTATTCTTACTAGTGCTATAAATATAGATGGTGTTATTTTTAACAGCAAATTAGGATAACGTTAAATATTTTCGTAAATCGATGAAAAGAGTGAACAGGCGAGACAGGCAGTACTCGTAATTGGCTCACTGGTGACTTAGTACAAGTGTAGCCATCTATGTGTAAAAACAATCAAACAAGTCGACTCACAGTGGGCATGGCATGTACGTACATGCCATCCCAGGCGGCAATGGGTTAATAGTTAATTCTAATAACAAATAAGAAAGAATGCATAGGATAATCTCTACCTCAAATCCTTTCATGGTTTTCTGTACTAATTGCATTAGTGAAACTTGATTCTAACTTACATGCGTGTTTCTCATATCTTACAGATTGTAATTTGTATAATATTTGTGTTTCCTGCTCTTTTCAAAAGTTAGAGAGAGCAAATTACTTATTTGTAAGTATTTGCCAGTCATGTACCTTTCCAATCATTTGACTAAATATAATATATTTGGATAGGTTAATGATTAGGATAAGATGTTAGATGTCAAAGGTCATAGAATGCTGTAGGATAGAGAGGTAGTGAAAAGGGTATAGAGGGAACAAATGGAATATGGTGGGGATTTGTAAGAGGAGAAGGGGTTAAAGGTATAGGGCAATCAAATCAAACGGAGGGTATGTGTCTGGGGAAGGGAGAGTAACCCTGTATGAGGAAAACTGTAAAAGAGCCATTATGAAACAATTAAAGGCAATATGGGTAGAAATGGTACTTGTCAAATTAGGAGAAGAATCCAGATAATTAGAATTTGGGGAAGGTGGGATCAGAAGAGTTTGCTTCATACCAAATCATTTATATTATCATTGGGAAGATTCCTAATGACCCACAAGCTGGCCTTGCCAGAATTATCACTTAAGCAACAGTCATATTGGCTCTTTTACAGTTTTCCTCATATACAGGGTTACTCTCCTCCAGACACTACCTCCGTTTTGATTTGATTGCCCTTATACCTTTAACCCCTTCTCCTCCTACAAATCCCTCACCATCTCCCTTTGTCCCTCTATACCTTTTCCACTACCTCTCTATCCTACAGCAAGCTATGACCTTGACATCTAACATCTGATCCTAATCATTAACCGATCCAAATATATTATATTTAGTCAAATGATGGAAGGTACATGACTGAGCAAATACTTACAAATAAGAATTTGCTCTCTCAAACTTTTGAAAAGGAGCAGGAAACACAAATATTATACAACTTACAATCTGTAAAGATATGAGGAAACAGCATGTAAGTTAGAAATCAAGTTCACTAATGCAATTAGTACAGAAAACCCATGAAAGGATTTGAGGTAGAGATTATCATATGCATTATTTCTTATTTGTTATTAGAATTAACTATTAACAACATTGCCGCCTGGGATGGCATGTACGTACATGCCATGCCCCACTGTGAGTCGATTGTTTGATTGTTTTTACACATAGATGGTCTACAATTGTACTAAGTCACCCGGTGAGCCAATTACGAGTACTGCCTGTCTCGCCTGTTCACTCTTTTCATTCGATTTACGAACATATTTAAACGTTATCCTAATGCTGTTAAAAATAACACCATCTATATTTATAGCACTAGTTAAGAATAAGTTTTTTTTCCTGCCAATTCAAGGGAAGGTGAAATCAGGAGTTGCAGAGCCATCTATGGACAGAGATATTCACCAAAAATATCTATAAAAAATTAGTACCGCATACTGTGGTTTATTTTAATAAATGATTATGCATTCCCACACTAATTTATGTCAGAAGAATGCAAAGCCCCTTCCTAAATACTCTACCTTTTTTCTTCAAAAGATGATATAGCTCTTGCAAGCAAGCAGGGTTTTGGACAGAAAACTAATGTAATTATACACTGAAACCATACACACTTATTGCTAGTTGCGTAGGTACTAATACAAGTATTGTACATATTATGTATTGCTTGGAAAGTTGCATTTTACATAGAATTATGCTCTTGCATTAAGTGATTGGACAGGATAGAATTAACAAACTTATGAACTTTGATTGGAAGGGTTCATGGTGGATTTTGAAACTGTAGTCTCACTTCAGTAAATCTAGTTTCATATTGTGGGTTTTTCTACCATGATAAATAGTCGTTCTATCATGTGTCCAGTCTATATACTGCATCCCGTATGTGCGTGAAAATCATCAGTCAAATATGATATGGAAGAGAAGAAAAGGAAACTACAAAGCTATACTAGTTCTTCACTTTAAGGGCTCCCCCCAGTGCAGGCTATGGCATGGTGTGTGTGGAGCATGTACCAACAACAACAAGCATTTCAGGCAGCAGAGTCCCTTTCAAGATTTGATGGTGAAGGCATCTTGTGGGCTGTACCCAAGAATCGTTAGAAGCAGAGAGAACAGGGTGACAGGAAGTTTGTTCAGAAACAGGACAAAAGATAATGCACCAGTATTGAAACTGCATCACGTAACAACTGTGGACATGTTCATGAACCTGGCCGTCTGGTGTCGTTAAGTTTACAACACTCCTCCTCAGAGTTTAAATTTTGTATGTGGCATATAGTAAAGTGCCAGGAACAAAGTATATATATTTAAGTGAAGAGATTTAAAACATGATGAATAACTAGCATTTTATGGATTTAGGAAACTTTACTTGCCTTTATTTGATGTAATATAGAAAGATTAGGACAGGTCTTTTCTAGTCCTAACCTCTTTTCTTATTTTTTTTATACTTAGTTATTACCTATTATTCTATTACACAGAATTGTACCATATGTTTTTGCTTTTAATCCAGTAATATCATGTATAAATGAGCTGGCCACTATGTTTTTGTTTATTGATATTGTTTACAAATTTAAGTGCTTATACAAAGGATTCAATAGGTAAACATGCCTAACCTATTTATTTACTAAATTTTGTGAAAATAATGTTGTTTAATGTTACCAGTATTAGTATAAGTTAGTTACAATAATGACAATTTTAAAAATATGAAATACATTGATGTCAATTATGATAGTAAAGCAAATAAAAGTTTATTTCATAAAATTTTAGATAGTAAACAGGTAAGGTAAGCCAGCCTAGTAATGAGCTTTTGAAGCCATTTATGTAAACAAAGAAACAAAATCATGGTGGGATAGGGTATTCTGTGACATGTAAAAAAAATATATGATAAATACATTAACCCATTCCCGCGGGCATGCCATGCCATGGCCACTGTGAGCTTACTTGTTGGATTGTTTTCACACATAGATGGCTTAAATTGTACTAAATCACCAATGAGCCAATTCCGAGTACTGCCTGTCTCGCCCGTTCACCCTTTTCTTTGATTATGAAAATTTGACGTATTTACTTTTGCTGTTACTAATGTTAAAAAACATTATAAAAATTACAACGTTTATGATAAAAATAACATCATCCAATATTCGTGGCACTAGTGAAAAATACGTTGTTTTTTTTTTTTTCAAATTCAGGAGCTAACAGAGCCATCTATGGGCAGACATTTAACAAAAAAGTATAGAAAATAGGCACAGCATTTCCCCATTTTTGTTCATTTTCCCCGGCGGCAATAGGTTAATGTCAATTATGATAGGTAAGCAATTTTTTTTTTTTTTTTTTTTTTTTTTTCATTAAATTTAACCCTTGCAGCCGGGGTGACGGCGATACGCGTGTAAAAACAAATGCTTGAAAGGTGGCGTACTGGCCAAACAGCGGCGGCGCCCAAAGCGCGGCGAGCCAGTGTTCGGGAGACGCCCCGTTACTCCGGCGCTCAAGTCGGCGCGCTGCTTTGTTGCCAGAGCCGAGAGTTTTCTTTCCTTTGTACACCCGGGCGTAATTGGGTTAAGGAATAGTAAAAAGGTGAGGTCAGGCAAAACTATGTTGGATAGGCTATTCTGTGAAAGCTTATATTACAATTGCCTCCCCAGCAAATTGTTATGGCAAAATAAAGGAAGTGACAGAAGCTATGCAGAATGCCATGAATACCCACACAAGGACCTGAAGCCAATTGAAAATGATGTGTTTTCCAGTCTTCAAAGGTGAAAAAATCAACACTGAAGATGGATTCTTTGAGGTATGTGCTGCCTAGTCTCACTTGGAATGCATTGACACCTAAACTAAAAATCAGTATAAATAACTTTTGCAGGAAATAGATATGGTATTGATGCCTTGGAAGGTGGAGGTTGGTGAAAAGTTTTGCATAAACATACATTTGTAATCACAGAGATGAATGGTGTCATGTCATGGTGCAGACTGCCTAGATTTTACTGATGTATTGTAGGGGTCAGTTGTCCTTCAGCTTGGTCCCACATGGTGAATTTTTCCACATGGGTCAGGTCATACCCACCAGTCTGCAGTCTGGAGATGAATCAGTT